AGATGTTGCTAGAATATAGAAACATACGTAAACATCAAGTTTATATGTTTAAACACGAAACCGTATAAATTGTTAAGGCATTCCTCAATTTACACCAACCACGATTGTTATCGCACAACGTCCGTCCTTCGTGCGCACAGATGTGCGCAAGCAATGATCGTCCAGCTTTTTATCGTTCGCCCATCGTGCACACACCGTTCACACACCGTGCACACATCGTGCGCACACCGCACATCGTGTAACGTTGTGCGATCCCACAACTGTATGTCTGCTTATGCTCACACATTCGCCAAACCATCTTATTATTTGTATAGCTTCGGCCTGATATCGTCTTTCAGCATTGATCGGGTGGTTTCTAAATTTAAATGTCTCTGCTTGCTTCAGTAAACGTTAACGCCGCAGAAATGATCGGTACATGTATGTAAATGTGTATATGTGTAGTACATAGCTGTAGGGACGCATTGGATATACCCGTAGCAAGGAAATATATAGGCCAATGTACCGACACCACACCACAGTGAGTTTTTATGCAACTTTTATAGATTTCAGCTAATAACCAGCACCACGGCAAATAACAGTTCCGAACTGTCTGACAAGGTCTCCGAAGTTTTCCCAGCGTGAACAAGTCCCTTTAAATATCTCACTATCAGTGTATTACAATCATTCTGAAATAGTTGACTAATGTAGGTCGAAGAATTTGTTGTATATCATTCAATGTCTTTCCATAATCAACAAGTTCTGCGGAATACCTCGTGACATATATACAATATATATTTATGTACTCAAATTAGCTACAGATATGTATATTTTACAATGTTGATCTATTCGAGTTAACATAGTTGTTATTAAATCGAATCTACCGGTTATACTTCTCAAGTCTATATACAAATAATAGGTCATAGATTACCACATCTGGATAGATGGTACTTTAAATCATTCAATCAAAAACAGCGTGTATGTGGGATGTGGGATGTATGATGCAGTGCAATTCTTTTGGCGTGCTGTATCTATTGCCAAGTTTTAATGATACATTCACCTGTGTCTGTGCGTGTGTAGAGTCCATCTTATATAGGTCAACTGTCTAATTCCGGCTCATTCCCCGAACACCAACTCTGGAGAATTGAAAGGAAGGTGTTTATATAGGAAACCTTTTGAAGTTTAGTTATAGCCCGTTTCAACTAAGAATGTCGACTCATTTTGTAGATATGATACTAAAGTCAATAATAAAATGAATAACAAGTTTGTATTCATACATATAACTGTAATACACATTTAATACAGCACTAAGTAATAGAAAATAATCATTGAATATTAATATTTACATTATATGAAAAAGAAAATTAACGTTACATTATATGCAAAATAAAATTCCTTAATTTAAGCCACATTGATATTAATGTCAGCAATAAAATAAAGTTTCTATTTATACATATAATAGTAATACACATTTAATACAGCACTAAAAAGTTAATTATTAAATATAAATATAAACAGTAAACCATTAAATGAAGCTGAAGTTCCTAGCACAAATCACATTCTCTATATATATCACTTAAGTCTCTAGCACAAAACATTTTATCCAAGATGCAGAAGCTGTGATGCTGAATCGGTGTAGGTCATCAGGTCGATAGTTCCAGTCTGATAACGGCCTTCCATTGTGGCCAGGCGACTGTCGATGTTGGCGTATCTCTTCTTTCGGGGTTGAGTAGTATCTCCTGCATCTCTCTGGATCCGGTTGATGTCATTTCCGTTCTGTATGTCTTTAAACGTCTGGATGATGGTGTAGATGTTGGGGTGGGCATGCAGTACTCTTTTCTTCAGTTTTCAGTCCCAAGCTTCCAGATGGTTGGTAGTCCGAGGTCCTTCTGTTGAGAAGTGGTTCCGGTCGTTGTCTCGGAGTTGGTTGAGTTCCTCGTCGAAGATGGAAGGTATGGGTCTGATAGATTCTACGCAGCGGATGGTGATCTGGTTCATTATCTGTTTTGCAACAACACTGGCTGGGTCTGAGGCGTGTTTGAGTTGATGTCTTCCGAAGTATGCTGGTATGTTGTTTACTGTCGAGAGGGATGCTGAACAACCCGAGGTTGAACATCTCCAGAATGTTCTGTCGCCGTTTCAACATATTTGTCTGTAGATGAATCCATCATGGGAAAGGTTATGTCCGCCTCTACTGTTGGTGATGAACTTAACTTTGATCTGAGCGTTTTCCATCTTGTAGTTGATGTATCAAATCACACACAATAACAGATAATAATATCAAAATGAAGTGACACAAATTAAAATCTGAAAATAAGTTTTATATGACAATAATTATAAGAGAATTCACACAAATTTCACTGAGTAAATAGGTTGATGTTTCCAAGTACAGAGCGAAATATAATAATTCACCAAAATGTGCTGCTGTTTTATACATTACCCATTTAACAGCTTGGGATCGGAACTAATTATTGTTTTGCAATTATTAGCAGTTATTGATTATCTGATTAGTTATCAGAAGTTGATTTACCTGTGCAATTTACCTGTACACCATTTCTGCAATAGACTATAACTCACTATCATCAAAACTGACCACCTATGTAAACACGTGATTTTAAGCAGTGTTGGTGTTCAGGGAAGACGCCATATTTACACTGTATATGTGTGTTTATTGGACAGGAAAAACAAAACAAAGCTGCAACGCATTGTTACAATATTGGTGAACTTGCGGGCTGGTACATGCTTCTTTAGTATAAACCTGTGCAATCTTTCATTATTCAAACAGGCTTTCTTCTGGCTATGTAATGCAGTCTTTGTAAATTTCCAGTTACACCTCTGTATACTATTGTAGACGTTCGTTTAGATATTCCAAATGTGTATATCTGCAAGCTCGCCATGATTCACACAATTGTTATTTACATTTCGATGTCATCATCTGTACATTTCTATTGTTAATTATGATATACTCTGTTGATAACAATGTTTATGATATGTTAATAAATATATAGTTATCTATGGATGTTTAAAGTTGTAATTATATGTTTGATTTACAATCTTTATTCGTAGAAATACTAGTTTTGTTTTCTGTCCAAACACATAGCAATATATTTGTTTTATAAAATGCAACTGTATATCAGTGTGTCACGCTATGATATGTATATTAAGGTAAAGAAATGTTTGTATTTTTTGGGAACCCAAATCTGAAATATACAAAATAATAAAAAACAATATTTTCAGATGTCTTGAATTTTGTCACAGTTTCGTAATACCAAAATGGTAAAGTCTTTTTAATTTTAAGATATTTGGACTGTTCTCAAATGTTTTAAAACGGCAAGGGCGTCAAATACTATATAATGGAACAGTTATATTGAGATAAAGTATAAAGGGTGTTACTATATATTTACGGTCTTTACTGAGAGTCACACGAGACAATTTATATAATAACGTTTCATGTCTTCTATCAATATTTAATACAATAACTGCTTCTACAATTTTAAACTCTCTGAAAGATGTTAGTCTGATTAAAACAAAAATTACCATAGCCACATGTACTATTCAAGTTGACGTTTGTTTTTTACCTTTACGTTCGTTATATTTAGATTTGATTTTACATTTATTGTTACTGACCATGTATTGGCCCTATTTACCTCTCCTCTGTTGATGGACCGGTGAGCATGTACATGTAATGATAATGGACACGTAAACTTATTTCCTCATAAACAGTTGAACAAGAAACATGACAAGTTTCCATGACGATGACATTACATGTGGGCGGGGTTATGCGAATTTCGCGAATAAGTAAACCTTGTGTGACGTCATAGATGTGGTGCAGAGTTATATATAACGAAGGCTTATTAAAACGTCAATTTCGGGCTGTTACGTTTGATGAACAGATCACATGTTAAGGTTGAACAAGCCCCCCAATAAATGATATAGTCACCATAAATTTCAACCCCCCGATACGTCCTATCCAAAGACCTCAATGAAAAATCTGAACTGATATATGTTATTTGAATATATCTAACTTGTTATATTGGCTATTGAACAAATACATATCCGGATTAAAGTAGTCGAAAATAAGGCAATTAAGTTGACGTCTATAAAAAGATTATAACATGTCAATGTCTTTCGCAACCCAACTCAGTGCTAAGAAATGCCATACACTTTAAAATGTATGTATATACCTAGGTCATGCGAAGCTTTATTTCTCTCCTGCCAGTTGTTGAGGGATAGTCCGTCCTACATACCCTGATAATGTCAAGTACACAGACTTTGTGAGTTTTGAATATCATCTTGGTAATTTTATAGAAACGTTGTATTTTAATCATATCTCATTAGCATTTCATCTACTTTGTCAAAGTCCTTGCGTTTTGATTCTGTTGATGAGATTGATAAACTTCTCTCGAAAATCATGTAATTTTAAATACTGATTCTAACTTAAAACAGGTAAATATACAGTAGACTTGTAAACCACAAACAAGACTGCATCTCATTAAGTCGGAAACATATTTATACTTTTTCTCGAACCCTTTATTGTCCAAAGAAATCCTGATTTGAGTTTATCTATTCGCATTAATCTTAACAAATATTTAATTTTCACATTTCAAAAGAATAACTACCTTAGCCTAAATTGTCGTGGTCGTTATTCAACCCTATTACTTAAGGTTGATTAGAACAAGTTTGCATTTAACTATATTTCCTATCCTAGCAACAGAAACATATTTATGTGTACCTAAAAACACTATGATTACAACATAATCTGTTGTGTCATATTGCTGTCTAATCTCACAGTTGCATGACGTGTACGGTGCCGTCGCCACACCCGATTCATACTTTCCCGTACATATCTACACCTACAACTGTAGGTGAGACCACGTCATCTCTATTGTCCAATAGGCATCTAGCTTCTGTACCATTTCCTGGTATGACATACACCAGGTTATGCTTGAAGTCTGGTACAACAAGTCTGTCGTATTGGTCACATGACATCTTGTAGAGAATCATATTACCAATCTTTTGATCATTGTTGAGTTCACCAGTCCATTGATATTTGGTTGTTCCAGATTTGACCGCTAATATTAATACCATACTCATGTCCGACACTGCAATGTCTCCTGACGACAAACATGCAATCTGCTACCCATTAATTCCACACCGGAAACTCCTCACAATCGTACCTAACGGATTCAGCACCACAACCTCAGATGTATCTGTCATAACGAACACAGCATCCGATCTGTTGATGCTTATGTCATTTACCTTACAAAGTCTGATGTCTGAAAATGTTGTCACTTGTTTGTTAAGTAGTGAAAGTTTATACACACATGAGCTGAGTGGAAAACTGGTCATGAGTATGCTTGTCATTCCGACCATTGCGATTCTGTAAGGACAAAAGTCCAGCTCTATCGTTTCTGAGACAATGCCCTCTCTGTTAACAAGAACAAGACCCTTGTATTGATGTATTGATAACCACGCATGATAGTTGTCGACAGGACATATACCCAATATGTGATTTTGCTGATGAACAGTGAACTTTGAAAGGGGTTGAACAGGTCTACTGCCGATTTCTATCTTTTGGTACTGGTTCTGGTGATTTAGCTCACCTACCATTTTTGCCACCAACAAACGGTTGATATGTCCAGTAACAAAGCTGGGTAGTTTGGGTACAGCATCTTCCACATTAACATCATACGAGGGTAGAGTCGTCCGCAATGACATTTCTGTTTCAATCATTGACATACACCATGTATCAGTCATTTCCACTGTTGCAAGCAGACGCGTCAGCTCTCCGATGTTTTTCTCTGAATGTTGGTAATCTTTCTGGTACGTGGTTGCTTCCTCTTTTTCTATTACTGATAATTCAGCCAGCAATGCATCCACGACAGAATCTACTTCTGCCTTAAATCTTTCCCTCTGAAAACCTACATCTTTCTTCATTAAACCAATGGTATTGGTGAACGCTTTGTAAGTACAGCCCTGCGTTGACATCTTGTTTTGGAAAAATGTTATTTTAGAACAAATGGTTTTCATATGTTCTTCTAGGAGTTGTTTTCTGGTGCTGAATTCGTCTTCGAAGTGTTTCCATTTGTGTTGTTTGTGTGTTTAGGAAACACATTTCATGCACAGCAACATGTAGCAGTCGCTACAATAAACGTCACACAGTTTACCTGGATGTAGTTTACATACCCCTGGTTTAGGCTTGTGACCTTGATGATTGACCTCCCATATTGATACAATGTCGTCATTTTTAGTTTTCTTCCCACTTTGATGGAAATCCTTACATTGGTCGCATAAATTTTCTCGACAATCGTTACAAAACCACCGTACCCCGTCTTCGCTGTCACACAAAGCACACGTGTAGGTAGCGGGTTCCTGGGCACGTATTGTGGGTATGTTGCCTTCCATCCATTAAGCGCTTCGATGGAATATCGTTCAGTATTGTTCTTAACTGATTTGTTACGACTACGTCAGGTGATATATATACATTGAATATATATTTCTCCAGACGATCAGGGTACATGGTCATATGGACACTGATACTTACCACGTTATCATTCAACAATGTTATCACGCAAGTAAAAAGAGGTCACATGACACTCTATAGTGTAGATACATTGTACATCTTTACCTAAGATTATTTAGGGTTAGAGACGTTATGTCTGGAGGCTTGCCATGGATTTCTGTATGCGTATATCAACGCAGGGCAGGCGATAAGGGGTATTTAGATAGTATTATGTACAGGTGTGCGCATGCGTTTTTGAGATTTCTGTTTCCTGTACGAAACAAATGAATATAGTGGTGTGTTGATAATATTGATGAAAATAATATACATAATAGAGTTACTTGTGTATTAATATATACCATAACCAATATGAATATTGGGGCAACGTAGTAGAAAGCACAGTATGTTTTCGAGGGGGACATTTTAAACGTTCGTTGGGGGTCCTAGCAGCATGTTGTTTAATGTAATGTATATATGGATATTATCGTCAAAAACCCAATCCTATTACAGTTATAACGTAAAATGAATGAGTATCACCGTCTTATTTTTTTATTTGTGTTATTTCTACAATATTCTAATTTGGAGAAACGCTTATTTATGTCACTTATTCATCTGGCATTTAAGTTAGTTCCTTTGAAATTTCTGACCTATTTTCGGATCAACACAAAACTTATGATATATTATGTTCAAGAAAAAATAATAAGATAATCCTGTCCGTTATCTACGCCGGCCTTACCAGTACACAAACTCCAAGTAACAATATCTTTTTTAATTAATGGCGTATGGCAAATGAAAGGGCGACATCCTATTTCCTAAAAACAACCTATTTCATGATCGGCGTATCAGTGCACGAAATACATTTCAACATATCTGTGCAAACGTTCATGACAATATATACATGTTTATATGCGATGAAAACAGGTGCCCGGCGATTTAAATGTTTAACGTATAATCTTTTATCACATAACTGACCCTTTTTACTATGTCATACGGCCATGTCATAAATATGGCATTACACACGTGTAATAAAACCTAAAGGTGCTGCGATTGGTCAAAACCTTGGGAACATATTCCTACTCCACTACGAGTATAACTTTTATGTATTATATAACATGTGCATTTGTTATTATTCTAAATGAATTAGAAATGATTACTTTGTCATTATTATTTACTTATTGCAATTAAAACTGTTCATTGCTAAATTTTAAAAAAATGGCACTACTTGTTAGTTCATGCGCGGAACGACAATATTATGATCGGAGTACTTTGGTTTTGATGTATATAGAGTCAACTGATAACACATAATTGCGTTTGTAGTTTTTGTTCAAATTAGGATTGTTATGTGATAAAGATGATCTTACATTCGTGTTCATGTCATGTTGAATTTATGAAACTCGTTCAATAAATTGATACGACACTCGCCTGTGTCATTTCAAATTATCTGAACTCGTCTAATGAACTCAATATGACATGGACACTCTTGCAAGATCCTTTATATAACTGAAAATCATTCATACAAAGCCATCCTTAATTCAACTCTATTGAGTCATTGACATTAACATAATGTTGATGGGTTGTACAGATTCATTGCAGTGTTAACTGTTCTGGAGACATACACCATAGTTATAATGAGAATAACCTTTAACCATAACAATGACAATGATCGGTTAAAACAATAGTTTACAGTTTGTTTCCTATCCACAGTATATCAGATTGTACGTGAGTTGTACATGTCTAACGTTTATACACGATTGCATGTATGTGTTCCTGAGCGCATAAACAAAGGTAATAATTCTAAGATATATTTCTTATAAGACCATATATGCTGGCGAAATGGTTTATGTTTTTCTAAGTACAAACATCTTCACTTTTTTCAGAATTATACAGAACATTTGTCTGGCCATGCAATACGGTCTTTGTGAAATTCAGGTCTTGATTTTCATTTCAATTTGTAAAGGCTTTTTTAACTTATATCTAATATACACAATTAATTTAGAAGTTCTCCCTTGTATATTTTACTTAATTAACCTATTTGTTTCTTTTTTTGTCTTTTCTTTTCTTATCTCTCCTCGCACATTTTCTTATCTGGGTGTCCGTATGTGCATATATATAATTATTATTGCACAAATGTATCCTACCACAGACAAATGTACATTTTATTGTTTAGTATAACTCCGTTGGTAACAAGCCATTCGGGTTGCTATGTCTCGCTTATACCCCGCTTTGACCATCAATGCCCATATCAAAGAAACTAAGTGAAACGCAAAAACCTTAACGTTGATGAAGTCGCTGACAAAGTCAATAGACAAAACAAAAGGTAGGCCGCATCCAGCATTTGATGCATGAGTTGAGATGTACTAGCTTGAGATGCATGTATGGTCCAAGTTTGGTTGGTCTAGCACTTCTACCTTCAGTGAAACTAAGTTAAATGCAAACACTTAATGATGACGCAGCCGCCGCCGCCGCCGCCGCCTCCGCCGCCGCCGCCTCCGCCACGGCGAGACTAAAATGAATCATTACAATGTTCGATGGAGTTTACCATTTTTATTACATGTTTGGTTTTACATAAGAAGTCCAGTTTTGTTCCAGTTCAGACACACATATATACAAGTTTGTATAAAACAGATTACAACATGTTCCGCTATTTGAAGTAGATACAGATAACACTCCATTTGTACTACATGTATAACACAGACACTGTAATGAGATGTTCTATGGTTGATATTGATATTGAGGATACTCGATCAAAACCCTACAACATTAAAGTTAGAAAAAAAAGAGAAACAAAAAACTTGGATTTATTTATTTTTTGTGATAAAACGAATTAATTAAAAAATAGAAAATTGTTTTATAATTTTTGCCGAAAATTTCAAACCAGAAAACGTATTAAATGATGATATTAAGACCAAGCGCTTCAATTTCATAATCTTTTTTGAGAAACTAGAATATGGATTTCGGCGTATGTATTCTGGTCTAGACTCTCATAAATCTATCATATATTGGCTATTGTACTTATTCACTTATTTTGTAATTAAATCTCCACATGCTAATTTAATTTGAACATCTTTTTATAGATTGTACCCATACCTTTAGACTTTATAAATAATGTCTATAAAAATAAAATGTGCTTGTTTTAACACATCACTGTTGTATAAGTTATCCATTCATGATTCAATCATTCGTCTTTTCATGCTGGATCATCATTTAGTACAATTGTTTATATTTGTCTACATATGTTGCCAAATCGTACTTCCACATTGTCATATATTAAAAATAATAAACCTCATCATTATCAAATGTTAGATATATACTGATATTTGTATTCTGTATATCTAAATGCAACGATATTTTTCCGGTTTTTTTTTTCCAAATAAAACACAAGCATAACATGATAATGATGTTAATTAGAGTTGATATTGTTTTACGGAGGATACCAACAATTGAAGCAAATTGTATAAATACAAAGTCCATGGAACGATTCCAGTAAAGGGTATCTTTTGATACATAATCAGGTAAGGATATATGTACACGCTGATCGTGACTACACAATATTTGTGTTGTTGACTTCACAGTCTTGATATCTTATTATAACTTCGTGTTCTACTTGAAATCAAAGCACACCGGAGAACTCTGCCTGTTTTTGCCAAAAATGACACAAGACATTTATTGTTGTAATAAATCATTTATTCAAATGCCAAAGTTTAATAGCATTTAGCAAAATGACAAAAATCTTTTTTTAGATTGTAATTAAAATATAACGTTATAGGCAAAATAGGTGGGACTAGATATAAAATAATTGGCCACAAAAACTTGATGGAGGTTTAAAAAAAACTCAATCAAGTTGGCCATCTTAATATAAAGTATACATATATAGTTGATATGAAATATCAGCAGCTCTACAGAGTCGACCAAACAATCATCACACTCGGCTTTTTCTTCTTTTTTCTTTCCTTTTTTTTTTGCTTTGTTCTTTAATTATATTTATTATAGGTCACCTCCGACGGGCAATTTAAGGTCCATAATTATTAAATATTGGGAGGGTTCACGCTTTAACGCCGTCGCTTACTGTTGACTGATAATATAACGTTCAGCAGTGAAATCACCTAAATGCGGGAAGAAAAAAACATTTCGACACATCCATTAAGAAGAAACTGCAATCTTCTCCGGAAAGTAATTTTTTTTCTAAATTGACGCGTTTCACTGTATATGCGTTCATATTATGTTTTACCTATACAAACAGTTTGTTATAATATTGTAAAAAAACTCATTTTGACAACGTTAGCATCAAAGGAAATATTTGGATTAATTTCTGCTCCACGGGTCTTCAAACATTTCTTGCGGTTATAAGTATTATACAATATATCAAAGACATTATGAATTATTTTCAAACAATTTCCCGTTATTAAACCACGGATTTCAATTTTGTAACAAATTATCGAAGCTAATAGTCTCATGACTTGTACGGTACCGGTATTACACCCGATCCACATGTTCCCGAATGAGTCCACGCCTACTGCTGTGGGTTGTATTACTGCATGTTTCTGATCAAAGAGACACACGGC